CGAAATACCGTTGACATACCGATTCATACGGTTCAAGCCCATCAATTCAACAAACTTGAGAAGTTGATGTCCTCAGAACACCGTTACAGCAACACAAAACCTGCCTAGTTTTAGCCTTAGCCCACATCGTAACGTAAATTGCCACTGGCTCGCCGCTTGCGAACATGAACTCTCACGAAACAACATCAATTTCACACCGTGTGCAAGTTCAGTTTGGCTTTGGCACAATATATAATATTAACTGAGAACTATCCAACAAATGAACGGAGTTTAAAAGCTAAGTTTACAGTGTGCGCTCTAAGTTTTGTATCTTTTTGATTGTCGATAGGACTCGCTGCGAAAACAATGTAAAAGTTGCAGGCATTTTGTAGTTTTGTTAGGGTGTACCGCTGACCAGCAAAATATTGTATCGCGCCCCAAAAAACGTATTTCCGAGGTGTCGCTCTGATACTACTCTGTTTATGCACTGTTACTGCTCTGTTAATGCTCTGTAACTGCTCTGATACTGCCCTGTTATCCCCCTGTTACTGCCCTTTTAATGCTCTGTGACTGCTCTGTTACTACCCTTTTACTACTCTGTGACTCTGTGACTGTTCTGTTAATGCTCTGTTTACTTTCCTGTTTTCTTTTACTCCCCGTTAATGCTCTGTCACTGCTCCGTTACTGTTCTGTTACCATCCCGTTACTGCTCTGTTATTGCTCTGTTACTGCTCTGTTACTGCTCTGTTACTGCTCTGTTACTGCTCTGTTACTGCTCTGTTACTGCTCTGTTACTGCTCTGTTACTGCTCTGTTACTGCTCTGTTACTGCTCTGTTACTACTCTGTTACTACTCTGTTACTGCTCTGTTGCTACTCCCTTACTTCTCTGTTACTGCTGTGTTACTGCTGTTTTACTGCTCTGTTATTGCTCTTCTACGGCCAGTTACTTCTTTTTGGGTCTGCTCTAGCTAGCTAGTAGTGCCTTGTACATTTCTTACCGGATACAAGTTTGATCAGTGATTGTTTTTACTTTTTTACATTGTAGGTGGGTTAACACATTCGACTATAATAGGTGGGGATATCTCTTACCAAAGCCACCTTTATCAGTTCCTGACCCCTGCTTTTGGATTGAACCCTCACTGGGTACTGTGTTACCGCGCCTCCACTTACGGCTGGGCTGCCAGTACCTTTCACAGCAGGTGTGATGGGAAACGTAACACGGTTACCATCATCAAAAATGGAGTGTACGTGTTTGGAGGATACGCTGACATTCCCTGGGGTATGGTAATTGTGTTGTTTCGAATAATCTAAAATTGTAATCTATCAAATATTTTCGCGTTTTACGTATCTGAATATGTCCCAGCCAAAACTGGGGAATATCCGAGTGATATTCAGCATAATAATTGACAGATAAGAAACACAATAGTCGCCATTCATCGCGAAAATATGCATATGCACGGATATTTGTCCTTGAACCTTATCTATTCCTCAAAGTTCACAGTTTTCCTCGAGCTTTGGTCTCGGAAAACTTTTCGCTTCTTGTAACAGATAATGTCCGCAGACAAATATCTGAGCATATTTTCGCGTTGAATTGAGGCTGTTCTACAGAATAACTATACTTGGAAAAGAGCATAACCAACTTGCAGATTGTTAAAATACTTAATATTATTTGATCTAATAAGATTAGGTCTTAGTTGGTTTAAGGAGGTTAAAAACGTTTTTCTGGTTCACTCTGGTTTTAAATCTCTGCTGCACCTATTCCAGTTTTCTTTGCAAACCCAATATAACAATTATTCAAAGTACGATTTAGCTGAACCAAAGAACGTTTAGCATTCTCAACCTCTAATTTTTAAGTTTCAAGCTGTTGGTCTTGTTTTTGTTTGTCATTAATTTTTCTGCTCGTATGTTCTTGTTACTCAGATACTACAAGTTCCTTTGGTTCCACTTCCAATGCGTTTATATTTTCCCTCCGCAATAAAGAAGGTCTTGGACCATTTAAGAGCATGGTAACGAAACCATCATATGCAATCGTCAAAATGCCAAATTTTGGTCCAACATTTGGTGATGGGTATGACATCCTCATTGTTGACAACGCCAACAGTAACATTAAGTCATACACAGACTTTGGCAACTCTTACTCTGTTCCAAGTGGAGTACAAGACAACAAAACGATCCTGGCTGGGACTATGCACTTCACACCTGATGAGATGGAGGTGTTTTATCTTGGTTGATTTGCCCTAACATCCCTTCATTCACGTTCTCAAATCGTTTATAACACAACAAAAACAAGCTGAATTATTAAAACGAATTGTATTAAGGTATTTTAATGTACAAATACGCCTTTATTATTTTCTTCTTTTTTTGACCTCACTACTGAGCTCGACTTAACCTTGTCATAATTTATTTGGTCTTTCCTTTGTTCACCCTTACAAGTACCTATCCGCATATGATTAATTGTGATCTAAGATTTTTTTTTTCGCTGTTTTTGTTGTTGGGGAATGATCATTGGTGACTTTTACAAACTCGGGAGGCGGGTCGGGGGGTGGGGGGGGGGATGGATAGCAAATACCTGTAGCCTAATACAGCCGTTGGGATACCCGACCAAATGTTAACTATAGAGTGTGATATTCGATGGGGTACCATACCATACCATCGTGGCGACACTTCTATCTTCCTCATGAGACCGGGATAAGTTCGGGCGGTTTTTAAAAAATTGACTTGCAATGTATGCGACATGTTAGTGGCAAGATAACTGCTTAGAAACACTTTTGTTAACTTTTGTTCCACCAGCTAATAGTGTAGCGCATCAAAAACAGTTTTCATTGTTTCAAAGTTCACACAGAAAGATAGTTTTTTGAGAATTGAAGGTTCAATTTTCGGCGGTTTCGACAATAGACGGTAAAAGTTTAGTGATGAAGGGAATTTCATTTCAAATTTTATTTGTAAGTCTTTTTATGGTTAACCACCCTATTAAGACTCTCATAACTCGCTGATTGACAAATTAATAACAATGCATATAGTAAATGACTTCACACTGATGTATTTGTTTTAAATTAATGGAGAATTTGACACGAAAGTAAATCTGGTTCATTTGATGTGACTTTATGATACAAATATAGGTTTCCTGATATAACAGAACTTTTGGGGTTATAGAACAACATTTGAAAAGTCTGGATATTTGTGGCGGCTAGCAGTCGTTTTTAGTACTTTTTTTTTTTTTGTCCGCATTCCAAGAGTGTATTTTTTGCGTTCATTTCAAGAGAGAGAACACGATTAGCACCATGATGAATACACGATTTTAAAATAATACAATGATAACATTTTATGCGTTTCTTAGTGTCCCTCGCCAAATGGCGCTTTGTTTTTTGTCTGCATTTAATCGAAAATATTTCATTTTAATATATTTAATTCACTTATAAAAGCAAGGAATATAAACTTGCTCGAGGAAACCTTTTTGATGATGTATGTTGAAACTGGTAGTCGTAAGGTAAAGCTGTGCAGCGACAGCAGCACGTTCCGTCCGTAGACACCTAAGAGATCAAACTTTAATCATAATGTTTCAGCTGAAAAGCAACGGTCTCTTAATTAGCGGATGTTTGACTGTGTTTAATTGACAATAACAAAATTGTGAAAGTAATGTAAAACGTTGATAAAGAAAAGACTCATATACCATGCCCTAGAATTCCAAAAGTAACGATTCTTTGCCTTACGCCATGCAACAATTTTTCTTACTTTAAAAAATGTCGAATTTTATTTACTGATCAGTCAGTATTAGTTTCCATGGAAACTGAAAAACAAAAGGTTAGATAAGCATTTTTTGCACCTGCATAGATTCACTTGCAGTTAGATTTGTCCCCTTTAATTGTGACAATCATTTAAAAATAAAGCTTTTGAAAAATAGCTTGCACCGAATAAGAAAGTAACAAAGATTGTTACTTGGTCGAAATGCTACCGCAGCATGAGATCATTACATTAATATAAGACAGTACAGTCTCTTGATTGATGAGACTGGTTTATGCCGAGTCGATTATGCTTGAAATTTTTCCATATGTAAACAATAACTAAAAATATGCACACTTTTGTAATTGTGTAATGCAATGGTTTATAACGATCATTAAACAAAACGGAGCGGAAAATGTTGGTGAGGTGATGCTTTACAGGTCTAGTGGTTCATAGGTTGGATAGGAAACCAGTCACGGGTGCAATTCCTATAAATAGTTTGCACCAAGAGGAGATAACCTAAGAGGGATTACCTTAGGTTTAAGGCCCATGTGGGAGATTCACTGTGCCTTTACTCGTATGTACTCGTATGCATCCGTATGTTACTCGTAAGTACTCGTGAGGTGTTTTAGTCACGATCGCCGTGAATACCGCAAGCTTGTAATTACCTCCAGTTAAATCATACAAAATGAAATTTTCTGAATCCCTTCTCTCTAGCTTCCCTGGCGCCAAGGATATCGTAGCGCTCGTGACTAAAACTTTGAGTGATATCTGTATGAGTAAAGCGATGTTTTATTTTCTCAGTTTTGTACATAATCCTACAGGATTTTTTTTTTATTATTTACGCATCCTCAAAGGCTCTTTTCTGCATGTGTACTTTTAGCAAAATCGGCCAACTCCCATTTCCAAGTCTGCCCCAGTACTAGTCTCGCAGGCGGAAGCTCTTAATAAAATGGACAACCTTAAAATTTGGGAACAAGAGACCGAGTCCTTACTGCAAGAAATGGTAGTAGAAAAGGAAAGGGAACTTTCTGGGTCAATGAAATAAACCTTTACAAAGGTCAATAATTTTTAAGAAATCCTCCAAGCTACAACAATATTTTTTTATTGTTTATTTATTTATTTATTTATTTATTTATTTTTCATTACGTGCGTCAGTATTGGAACGTTTCAATAGCCTTTCTTCTCTCATTGGTTAACAAGCCTGGATGACAACCTCTAAAGCTAGATCAAACAGAACACCATAGTTGAGGGAGAACGCATTGCACTTATAGCTGTTTATCCGATGGACCAATATTTGGACAAGGACAAGATATATACAATGTAAACAACGTTGCATTAAGCAGCAGCTCCTACATATACCTTGGAAACACTACAGCCCACCGGCTGACAACAGCCATTATTATTCATTGTTATCAATATTCGCGGCCAAATAGAAACTCGACCCCTTGAAAACACGTGCTCAGCAGGCCGCAAATGACTAACAGCGGGCTGCTAATGAGGCAATAACATGACCTGTTGAGAGAATACTGTTTCTTTGCGACTGCGTAGTGTCATTTGCGGCCCGAGCGCGAATGCCTAATTCCCGTTTCGGGACACCATAGTAGGGATCATAGCTGTGGTAGTCAAAGCCTTTAGTCTTGAACTTATCTTGCTGCTTGATACAACTACTGTGATTCTACGCGAGCGCTTATTCGAGAGGAAATTAGGAATTCCACAACAACGAACGTTTTCCTTTCTAGTTACAGATCTGGCCCTGTCAAAGCGCAAAGCCAAAACATATTATTTGGGTAATCAGGGAGCACGACAATTGATTTAAAACCATTTCCGCATACAGTCAAACCTCTGGTTGCGACCACCTCTCGTAAGCCGGACCACCTCTCCTCAGCAACCAGTTATCCAAATGCCAAAGGTTTTCCAGTCAAATCACTATATTTGGAACGTCTTGTAAGTGAACACCTCTCGTAAGCGACCGTGATCACTCAGTTTAGAGCTAAAAGTTTGAAATTTTCTTTTGTTGTTAACCTCCTGTAAGCGACCACTTAACAGACATTATAACAAAGTTTCCATAAAACGTGCGCTCTCACTGGCTGAAACAGCGTGCTTTATCAGAGAACAGAGCACGGGTTGATGACTTGAATGCAGTGTAGAAACGCTCGTTCTCCGTTCATCTTAGCGCGCGAAGTGAACCGACAATTGGTGAGTGCTTAGCTTGCTCTGAGATTCTCTTCTGTACTCGGAGCAGAACCAGTGGGAGCAGTTAAGTCTTTCTAACTTTTACACTAGTTTAGGCCATCTTGCTGCAAGCGGCTGCAAACTGTAAATAACTGTAGCGTGTGTAGCTCCTTTCAAATTCAACTCCGTATTTCGCATTTTTGTCCGCAAGCTTTGAGCTCCTTGTTTCGTAATTTCCATCGGAAAAGCGCACGTTTTCATGAGCCACGATACGGCCGGATTCCTCTGGATTGCAAACCGTTACCTGCCTTTAGATCCTTACTTAAAAATTAACTAAAAAGCGAACTTTGAAGGCATCGTTCTTCTCGCAAAACCCGCTCGAAACTAATCCGAAACTGAAAGGTTAGCTGAAGTCCAGTTTGTGATTAACAGCTGTCACTTCGTTAGCCAATCAAATTATTTGAACAGTTCTAACAAGGATTGTGATTGGCTCATTTAAGCGTGCTTTATCAGAGAACAGAGCACGGCTGATCTCACTTTTACTCGTTTGGAAAATAAAGTTTCGTTTGAAAATTCAGCCGAATGCGTGGGGAAATTATTGGATTCGTTATCCTAAAACAAATAAAGATGCCTAAACTGTGCTCTGTTCTGTTATAAAGCACTTACGAAGCGGTAGAGCACTCAAGAAGTAGGGAAAGATAGACACTCCATTACGTCTCGTGTTTTCCCGTACACTTCTTTCGTGCTCTACCGCTTCCTGCGTGCTTTACAACAGAACAGAGCTCAGTCGAGGCTTCCTTGTTCGTTAAATAGAGAGTAAATTGGATAATAAGATGTTGTAACATTATCGCATTCCTGGGTAGTATAAGAGACGGAAATTTCTCAATGGTAAGTACCGGATTTGTTCTCGAAATTGACTTTTCACACGAATAAAAAATTTTTAAAAAATAGGGCAGAAATATGGTAATGACGCAAAATTTTGACTAAGCTCTCGTAAGCGACCAACTCCCGCAAGCTGGGCTTGACATTTTAGGTAGTCGTTTACGGAAGGTTTGACTATAGTTTGATTAACCCACTGCAGAGTTGGAACAAGATGTTTAGCCCGGTTTAGCCTGTGCTTATGTAGCATACATGTAGAACGTGATCAAGACAAAAACAGTTCTGCAAGGATTACTCTTAAGCATTCACGGCATCCAGGCTTCTTGCTTCAACACTGTCAGATGAAATGGGATGAGCTGAATTAAACTAAACATTCTACTAAAACACGGAGCTTGGCAAAAACTAGTACATTTTTCCTCTTCCTAAAAGCCTTCATACTAAATTGAATGCTGATCTCAAGCAGTAAAATATCCCGGTCAACAAAGAACAAAATATCTGCAAGCTATGTTTACAATATTTGCTGTCTGTTCCTAGTTTCCTCATGGCCAATACAAGTTCTTGTCTTTTCGCTACATTCTTTCGACGGCGCTCGAGAGATATCCCAGGAACAGCTGTCAGCCTCGTATATCTGACTTTTATGTTTCTTCTATGAAAGGTTCAATGATCAATTTCGAGGAACAAGATCGTTGTTGAAAGGTTTACCAATGGGCGTGTAGCTCAGAAAAAAGTTGGT